ATTCTGACTCCCTAGGCATTGCATCTCAATGAATATCAACTAGGCATACAGTCTCATTGCCACATAGAAACCTTTACGTTGTCAACCGTGGATGCCACCAGGTTCCATAACACTGATGTGTTGTATTGTTGTTTTCACTTCAACACCGTGTGTTTGCATAAATTCATTGCACATTAAATTATTTCTGAAAGTGACAAAAATGTTTTAGTTTTTTCAAATCTTCTGATTGTGGGTGTTGTTTGTTGAAAGTGAATGACAGTATGTGGACCGGGGATTTATATATACAGTATGTCTCTAGTGTGTATTCACTATGAAGCAAATGGGATGAAACGGGGAGGGACCTACCTGAATTTGTCCAGTAAGAAACGTTTGGCTGTGGTGTGCGCTATTGAATTCACCCCTGTTGTGGACTAAGGAAAAAGGGAGGCAGCTGGAGGTCTAGGAAAGGCCAAAACCCTGCGGAGTTCCCTTTTAATTAGTCACCATGCTAACACTACAACCAATGGGCAACCCGCCCTTTAAAATGCTACAACCAAGGGGCAACCCGCCCTTTACAACGCTACAACCAACAGGGCAACCCGCCCTTTAAAACGCTACAACCAACAGAGCAACCCGCCCTTTGATGGAATAGTTTCATATTATAGAAGGCAATTTACTGCTAGACCGTTGGTGGTCCTTATCTATAGGCCAAGCTCTGAAGTAAATACTTACATATAGCAAGGCACTTAACCCTAATTGCTCCTGTAAGTCCCTCTGGATAAAATGCAGGTTGTGTGTGAGCACAGCACTGACCCTGAAATTTGAGTTGCTCTGGGTGTGAGTGAACCTAAGCACGTCCTATCTCCTAGACTAGAGAACTAATGGTATACTTAAGCAATAAGGCCCGAGGAGGTGTGGTATATGGCCAATAAGGGCTGTTCTTATGCATGACACAACGCGAAGTGCCTGGACACAGCCCTTAGCCGTGGTATATTGACCACATATCACAAACCACCGAGGTGCCTTATTGCTATTATAAACGGGTTACCCAATGTAATTAGAGCAGTAAAAATCAATGTTTTGTCATACCCGTGGTATACGGTCTGATATACCACGGCTGTCAATCAGCATTCAGGACTCGAACCACCCAGTTTATAATGCTCCATATTCCGCCTCACACTGTTATTGAGTGCAAGCAGTAAGAGTGGTTTTAAATCTGAGCTCTCTTTTCCTCTTCTTAATCATCCCAGATTCCCAGAACCCTCTAGTCTCTCTCTCGCTCTCCCTCTCCCTGAGTCATCCGTTTCCCTCATGTCTTCCTTTTTATTTTACACATGATCGAGGGATACTACAGTTTGTAATATAGTATTCTAAAGTATACTACAGGTTTACTACACTGAACAAAAATATAAACGCAACATGTAAAGTGTTGGTCCCATGTTTCATGAGCTGAAATAAAAAATCCCAGAAATTTTCCATACGCACAAAAAGCTTATTTCTCTCAACTTTGGTGCACAAATTTGTTTACATCCCTATTAGTGAACATTTCTCCTTCGCCAAGATAATCCATCCACCTGACAGGTGGCATATTAAGAAGCTGATTAAACAGCATGATCATTACTTGTGCTGGGGGACAATAAAAGGCCACTTTAAAATGTGCAGTTTTGTCACACAACACAATGCCACAGATGTCTCAAGTTTTACAATTGACATGCTGACTGCAGGAATGTCCACCATAGCTGTTGCCAGAGAATTGAATGTTCATTTTTCCAACGTCGTTTTAGAGAATTTGGCAGTACGTCCAACCAGCCTCACAACTGCAGACCACGTGTAACCACGCCTGTCCAGGACCTCCACATCCGGCTTCTTCACCTGCGGGATCGTCTGAGGGGAAAAACCCCTTTTGTGGGGAAAAACTCATTCTGATTGGCTGGGCCTGGCTCCCCAGTGGGTGGGCCTACCCATGGCTGCACCCCTGCCCAGTCATGTGAGGGACTAATTAATTTATTTCAATTGACTGATTTCCTTATATGAACTGTAACTCAGTAAAATATTTGAAATAGTTGCATGTTGCGTTTATATTTTCATTCAGTATATATAATTCTATAGTAAGTACTGTAGTATTCTATAGTAAACTGTAGTATTTTTTCATGTTGGGGCCTCCCCCTCTTATTTTCACTCTACTTCCTCCATCCTCTCTCTCTCTCACCAACACACACACAGTCTGACACACTGACACACACACACACTCTCTCTCTTCCTCTATAGCCAGTGACAGATTGTCCCAGTGGGAGACAGGGAGGATTAGCACTGCGCTATCCCAGAAACTGTTGCCTTGGAACAGAGAAAGCGAGAGAGGGATGGATTGATGGAGAGAAAGAGTCAGGGAGTTAAAGAAAAAATGCATTATGAGGGTGGGATGAAGACAAGGATGACAGTCTTTGGAATGCAGAGATGCAGGATAACACAGGGATTATTTAACTGTGTGTGCGTGTGTGTGGCTATGTGTGTGGAATCTGGATCAGTCATATCATGAAACATGAACACGTTAGCAGCACTATGTTTTGGTATTCCACGTGTACCCTCGTGCATTTCATTTCCCATGGATTATATATCCATTGGTAGCCAGTGAGTAACTGAACCACCAGCGCAACCCACAGATCTCTCTGCCGGCCCCGCCATCACTTCACCCACCATCTGTAACATGAAACACTCTCTCTCTCCCTCTCTCTCTCCCCCTCTCTCTCTTTCACCCCTCTCTCTCTCCCTCTCTCTCTCCCTCTTTTCTCCCTCTCTTTCTCCCTCTCTCTCCCTCTCTCTCCTCTCTCTCTCTCTCTCTCTCTCTCGCTCTCCCTCTCTCTCTCCCTCTTTTTCTCCCTCTCTCTCTCCCTCTCTCTCTCCCTCTCTCTCTCCCTCTCTTTCTCCTGTCTCTTTCTCCTGTCTCTTCCTCTCTCTCTCTCAACACTGTATAAGTAAATCTGCCTAGTCTCTGAGGTGCAACAAATTAGTCAACTGCGTCAACGTTGTTATTGTACCATGCCTTTCTTTTTAGTCCAGATCTACACCTTACAGATTCACCGAGAATTCTGGGTCGTTTCCAAGCAACCTACATTAAGCTTTAACTGCTCTGAGGGAAAAAGGACGGGCTTTGAAGCTTTGATCTGTGTGTCTGTCTGTCTCTGTTTGTGTGTGTGTGTGTGTGTATGTGTGTGTGTACGTGTGTGTGTATGTGTGTGTGTGCATGCGTGCATGTGTCAGTGTCTGGAGGGAGGGAGGGCCTTGGTCAAAAGTAGTGCACTATATAGGGAATAGGGTGCCATTTGGGATGCAAACTCAGTAGACAGAGGGCTGGGGCTGGGGCTGTAGACTAATGAGGCTGAAAATAGAGAATGAGAGCCAGTCAATAGAGAATGAGAGCCAGTGGGTGACGACCCGTCAGAGTGTGTGAGTGTGTGTGAGTGTGAGTGTGTGTGTGTGTGTGTGTGTGTGTGTGTGTGTGTGTGTGTGTGTGTGTGTGTGTGTGTGTGTGTGTGTACAGTATATAAAGACTGAGAGGCAGTTCAAAGGCAGGGTGGGATGACGATCTGTCACAGCGTCTCCCACAAGACGACTATGCAGATTTAAGAGTTTATTCCCCCTGTCTGTTTCAGCCCGCTTGGGTAGTGTGTGGTGTGTTTGTCACTCTGTGACCATGTCAGGGTCTGTCAAGTTCTTGTGTAATAAATCCCATCTGCAATTCAATCCAATTACGTATTACAATATGTATTTCCATTGCAACTATCTGGTGTTCACAGAAACATTGATCCTAAAATAAAGGGGTAATGGGTATGAATGTCCCTTCCTCACTGTAACATCCATCCAGGTCACTCTAACCTGGCTCCTCCCTCTGTTCTGTTTGAACTAACGTGACAACACAGATAACAGGATCACTATCAGCTGTCTGTCAGGGAGAGAAAGGGAAAAAAATTGACAAAACGACAAGATACTACAAATGTCATTTTGCCCCGTCACATTTATTAAGGAGTCAGAGAGAGAGAGGAAGAGAGAGAGAGGAAGAGAGAGAGAGAGAGAGAGAGAGAGAGAGAGAGAGAGAGAGAGAGAGAGAGAGAGAGAGAGAGAGAGAGAGAGAGAGAGATGGAGAGAGAGAGAGAGAGTCTTACAACTTCTTGGCACATTATGAAAAATAAAGTAAGTAATGTATTAGCCAGCCTGCTGCTGCTTCATACTGTGAATGTTGGAGCAGTGGGCCTTCAATAGTAAATGTATTCTCTTTAGCGGTGCTTGATTCTCAGGGCTGACTGGAATCACATTGTGTCTGTGCTTTGATGGGGAGAGGAGATTGTTAAATGTGTTTCTGGAGCACCAGGAATACTGTCTGGAAGGCTGGATGGCTGGATAGCTGAATGGCTGTCTGGTGGCTGGCTAGCTGTCTGTCTGTCTCTTTCTGGAGCACCAGGAATACTGTCTGGCTGGCTGGCTGGATAGCTGGCTTGTTGTCTTTTCTGTCTGTCTGTCCGCCTGCTTGCCAGGCTATGTCTCTGTTACATCTCCCCTTGTTTCCTTTATGCTTGTTAATCTGTCATGACTCTTGACTCAACAACTGCCTTCTTCAGTTTTGAATATTATAAAGTACATTATATTTGGAGGTAATGTGAATTGAAGTTTCTATTCACTCTCTCTCAGCATGGCGAGGCAGGGCATTGGTCGTCTCTCTCATTCCGTCTGTCTGGTATTGGCATGTCTGTCCCTGGCTCTCCACCTCATCCTGGCCCTCTTCTGTCTCTCCATCCTCCAAACATCCTGCGTTATCCCCTCCTCCTCCTCCTCCTCCTCCTCCTCCTCCTCTTTGTCTTTTCCTGGAACTAGTCCCCATGGACAACAAGGATGATCTCACTTCATTTTCTCACAAAGCAGCTCACACCATCCACCAACAAGTCTCATGAATGGAGACTTTACCAAAATGGCCTCATTCAACATGATCAATGAGAAGGAGAAGGACAAAAAAACTGATTAGAACCAAAATGGCCACCAAAGTGAGCCAACAGGTCAGCAGTCGCTCCAAACTGAAGGCCCTATTCAGCCACCCGCTGTAGAACCTGCCACGCCCACATCTGCCTGGAAGACGATTGGCTGCTGAAGTTGAAGCCAAAGAAGAAGGGGGAGGACAGTGAGGAGGAAGATGAGGAGGAGGACAGTGACAAAAGCAGTGAAGATAGTGAGTGGTGAGTGAGAGAAAGAGGAGTAGGAGACCACTGATAACAACTTATAAGTATAACAATTTAAGAGGAAAAAAATGCTTTCTACATAACAACAAAGTATATAATTCTGTCATAGCATATTACTTTTCTCATACATTTGTGATACTCATTGCTTAATTGGCCAGTTTCCCCATCCATCTTCCCCTGCTCTTTCCTGATAGGCAGAATGACAGCGAGCAGGATGGAGACCCACCCCCCCTGGCTGAGGTACCACCTTGGGATCTCTCGCTGGGAGCTGTATGACAGGAATGACCCTAACGTTGCCGAGGTGACTCAACAGATGGTCACACAACGCATCCTCAGTGCAGGTGAGAGGGTTGAGCTGGGGTGTGGACATGTAGCTAGGATTAGGATTAAGACTAAGGTTAGGGTTGAGCCGGGGTGTGGACATGGTGAAGCTAAGGTTAGGGTTCAGGTAATGGCTAGGGTTAATGTTGAGCTAGGGTGTGGACACGAAGCTAGGGTTAGGATTGGGGTTATGGCTAGGCTTAGAGTTGAGCTGGGGTGTGGACATGAAGCTAGGGTTAGGGTTATGGCTAGTGGTCTGTATAATTCAGGAATGGCACTGAACAAAAATATAAACGCAACATGTAAAGTGTTGGTCCCATGTTTCAAGAACTGAAATAAAAGATCCCAGAAATGTTCCATATGCACAAAAAGCTTATTTCTCAAAAATGTTGTGCACAAATTTGTTTACATCCCTATTAGTGAACATTTCTCCTTTGCCAAGATAATCCATCCACCTAAAAATGTGTGGCATATCAAGAAGCTGATTAAACAGCATGATCATTACACAGGTGCACCTTGTGCTGGGGGACAATAAAAGGCCACTTTAAAATGTTCAGTTTTGTCACACAACACAATGCCACAGATGTATCAAGTGTTACAATTGGCATTCTGACTGAAGGAATGTCCACCAGAGCTGTTGCCAGATAATTAAATTTTCAGTTCTCTACCAGCATGCCAGTGTTGTTTTAGAGAATTTGGCAGTACGTCCAACCGGTCTCACAACCACAGACCACGTGTAACCACGCCAGCCCAGGACCTCCACATCTGGCTTCTTCACCTGCGGGATCGTCTGGGACCAGCCACCCGAACAGCTGATGAAATTGTGGGTTTTGCACAACTAAAGAATTTCTGCACAAATTGTCAGAAACCATCTCAGGGAAGCTCATCTGCGTGCTTGTCGTCCTCACCAGGGTCTTGACCTGACTGCAGTTCGGTGTCGTAACCAACTTAATTTGGCAAATGCTCACCTTCGATGGCCACTGGCATGCTGGAGAAGTGTGCTCTTCACAGATGAATCCCGGTTTCAACTGTACTGGGCAGATGGCAGACAGCATGTATGGCGTTGTGTGGGTGAGCGGTTTGCTGACGTCAACGTTGTGAACAGAGTGCCCGGTGGTGGCGGTGGGGTTATGGTATGGATAAGCTATGGACAACAAACACAATTGCATTTTATTGCTGGCAATTTGAATGCACAGAGATACCGTGACGAGACCCGGAGGCCCATTGTCGTGCCATTCATCCGCCGCCATCACCTCATGTTTCAGCATGATAATGCAAGGCCCCATGTCACAAGGATCTGTACACAATGCCTGGAAGCTGAAAATGTCACAGTTCTTCCATGGCCTGCAATCTCACCATTGAGCATGTTTGGGATGCTTTGGATCGACATGTACGACAGTATTTTCCAGTTCCCGCCAATATCCAGCAACTTCCCACAGCCAATGAAGAGGAGTGGGACAGCATTCCACAAGCCACAATCAGCCTGATTAACTTTATCCGAAGGAGATGTCACGCTGCATGAGGCAAAGTGTGGTCACACCAGATACTGACTGCTTTTCTGATCCACGCCCCTACCTTTTTTGTAACAGATGCATAACAGATGCATATCTGTATTCCCAGTGATGTGAAGTCCATAGGCCAAATTAATGTATTTAAATTGACTGATTTCCTTATATGAACTGTAACTACAAATCTTTGAAATTGTTGCATGTTGCTTTTATATTTTTGTTCAGTGTAGGTTGACTCCATGTCCAGTTCATGTTGATTGATACAGAGTTGACCTCAACTCTGCTTAGTAACACAGTCATCATCTTGTTTGCGGATTTTGGGCTTCCCCTTGGGGTTGAAAGATAAAAGAGTAACCCCACCATTTTAAAGCTCATTAATTTAACCCAACTGACTTGGAATAGCTACAGTAGTTTGTGTAAAAGCAAGCTACAGTGGTGCCACAGGCTACTGTACTGCAGACAGTCATGTTTGAATTACAATATTTTTGGCTTAGTTTACTCAAAAAAGCAGTATAAATTAAAGGGATACTTCAGGATTTTGGCAATGAGGCCCTTTATGTACTTTCCCAGAGTCAGGTGAACTCCTGGATACCATTTTTATGTCTCTGTGTCCAGTATGAAGGAAGTTAGAGGTAGTTTCGTGAGCCAATGCTAACTAGCCTGCTAGCATGCTAGCAGATACCATACACTTCCAGTCATTGCGCTAACGCTAGTTAGCATTGGCTCATGAAACGACCTCTAACTTCCTTCAGGAGCACTAACTTTCTTGAGGAGCATTAGAGAGACATCACACACACACACACGCACACACACACACACACACAAAATAGTTGTTATTACAGTGGATGAAGAGATTACCCTGGGAGGCTGTAAAACATTGTCTGATGGCCCTCAAATCCTGTCTGTTATGAGACTGTTCAGAAGCCTTAGTTGGGATCCATTTGTTTATCTGTCACATGTAAACAAGGAAGTAGCATGCACTCTAAAAAAAAACTGATGGGTTGCAGGCGTTGGGTCACTTAGATGGGTTGTTTTCTTTAAAAACTGCTGGATTATTGATGCTGGCTGATGGGTTATTGATGCTGGGTTATTGAGATATGACTCAGTGGCTTAGCAGGGGCGTGGCTTTCAGATAGTTATTTTTGGCCACCCATAAAAGTAAACGTAATTCCATCTGCTTTGTTGTATTGTTATTTGATGTCACTGACACTTTAATGAACATTCCTCGAGACCCTATGCATATTGCAATGTTGGGATATGTAAATAATAATGTTATGAATTTTATATTAGAATATGTAATGTGCAAAAAAATTAAATTTGCAGTGTACAAACTTAACATGATGAATAGGAATGACATTTACTCTTACAGGTGGCCAAAAATAATCATCTGAAACTCATCTCCCTAAAATAACCTATGGAGCTGCTACAGTGAGGGAAAAAAGTATTTGATCCCCTGCTGATTTTGTACGTTTGCCCACTGACAAAGACATGATCAGTCTATAATTTGAATGGTAGGTTTATTTGAACAGTGAGAGACAGAGTAACAACAACAAAAAAATCCAGAAAAACGCATGTCAAAAATGTTATAAATTGATTTGCATTTTAATGAGGGAAATAAGTATTTGACCCCCTCTCAATCAGAAAGATTTCTGGTTCCCAGGTGTCTTTTATACAGGTAACGAGCTGAGATTAGGAGCACACTCTTAAAGTGAGTCCTCCTAATCTCAGCTTGTTACCTGTATAAAAGACACCTGTCCACAGAAGCAATCAATCAATCAGATTCCAAACTCTCCACCATGGCCAAGACGAAAGAGCTCTCCAAGGATGTCAGGGACAAGATTGTAGACCTACACAAGGCTAGAATGGGCTACAAGACCATCGCCAAGCAGCTTGGTGAGAAGGTGACAACAGTTGGTGCGATTATTCGCAAATGGAAGAAACACAACAGAGCTGTCAATCTCCCTCGGCCTGGGGCTCCATGCAAGATCTCACCTCGTGGAGTTGCAATGATCATGAGAACGGTGAGGAATCAGCCCAGAACTACACGGGAGGATCTTGTCAATGATCTCAAGGCAGCTGGGACCATAGTCACCAAGAAAACAATTGGTAACACACTACGCCGTGAAGGACTGTAATCCTGCAGCGCCCGCAAGGTCCCTCTGCTCAAGAAAGCACATATACAGGCCCGTCTGAAATTTGCCAATGAACTTCTGAATGATTCAGAGGAGAACTGGGTGAAAGTGTTGTGGTCAGATGAGACCAAAATCGAGCTCTTTGGCATCAACTCAACTTGCCGTGTTTGGAGGAGGAGGAATGCTGCCTATGACCCCAAGAACACCATCCCCACCATCAAACATGGAGGTGGAAACATTATGCTTTGGGGGTGTTTTTCAGCTAAGTGGACAAGGACAACTTCACCGCATCAAAGGGACGATGGACGGGGCCATGTACCGTCAAATCTTGAGTGATTACCTCCTTCCCTCAGCCAGGGCATTGAAAATGGGTCGTGGATGGGTATTCCAGCATGACAATGACCCAAAACATACGGCCAAGGCAACAAAGAAGTGTCTCAAGAAGAAGCACATTAAGGTCCTGGAGTGGCCTAGCCAGTCTCCAGACCTTAATCCCATAGAAAATCTGTGGAGGGAGCTGAAGGTTCGAGTTGCCAAAAGTCAGCCTCGAAACCTTAATGACTTGGAGAAGATCTGCAAAGAGGAGTGGGACAAAATCCCTCCTGAGACGTGTGCAAACCTGGTGGCCAACTACAAGAAACGTCTGACCTCTGTGATTGCCAACAAGGGTTTTGCCACCAAGTACTAAGTCATGTTTTGCAGAGGGGTCAAATACTTATTTCCCTCATTAAAATGCAAATCAATTTATAACATTTTTGACATGCGTTTTTCTGGATTTTTTTGTTGTTGTTACTCTGTCTCTCACTGTTCAAATAAACCTACCATTCAAATTATAGACTGATCATGTCTTTGTCAGTGGGCAAACGTACAAAATCAGCAGGGGATCAAATACTTGTTTCCCTCAATGTATGTCACCCCAACTAATGGTTAAAAAAACAACTGATGGTAAAATTAACCCATGTTTGTATAATCCATATTCATGCAACCCAACTGGCTGGGTCAAACTAACCCAGCGTGTGTTCTGTCCAATATTTACCTAGCGCTTGGTTACCAAATAACCCAAATTGGGTTGTTTTTAACCCAGCATTTTTTGGTGTATGGGTTTGAGCATGTGGGGAAGGGGAAGGGGGGGCGGGAGTTTTGTGTGTGTGTGTGTGTGTGCGTGCATGTTAGTGAGTATAATAATTAAACACACAATCTAAAAGAAACAAACAAAAGCCAAAAGCAATTCTTAAACACTAACAAATCAACCATAAATTGTGAGGATACAATCCAAAAACCACTGAAAAAATTTTAAGTCTTTAAACTACAAAATACAAAGTGATTACACCAAACTAGAATGCCAGCAAATGGATGAGAGTGAAGAAACAATCAAAGCAGAAACTTGAAAGCCAGATAATCGAACGTCGTAAATAAATCTCCAGCTCCTCTGATCTTTTGTTCTGAGGTCATTCAAGAAGATAAGAAATCCCACTCACACACCCACACATATACACACACACAAACATGTACTCACACTCAAACACACGCATCCGCATACACACACCACTTTGAATACTGTATGGAGATTGTGTTGAGCATAAAAGATTACACAATAATCAGCTTGTGTGTGGGCTGGCCCATAGCCACGTTTCATATACTCCTCCTCATCTTCCTCTTCTTCCTCCTCTCTAAAGACCCTGGATTCTAGAATCACCACCACTTATACCAGACAGTTTTTGATGTTCAGCCACATTCTGTACTTTACGTAATGAGGACTCCCTGTGGAGAACTGGGGTAACTGCATTTATGTACAATTCACTGGAAATACTGCACTATTACCAAAATAAGACCATCAGTGCAGTCAATGACAAGTAACTATGGTGTATTTTCCTTTGAACGTTGTGGAGACCCTGTGACTTTCATGTGTTTTAATGTATGTGTTATGTCTGTGTGTTCTGAAGGTCTGCATGCTGGTGTGTGATTATTATGGTGACGTTGGTGCATTGTCTGTTATGTGTGTTTCAGTGCAGAAGAGTGGGGCACCCAGTAGCAATAGTAGCAATCATAGCATGGCCTTATAAATAAAAACGTACCAATGACTTAGTCTCCGAAGAGCTAAGGAAGGCTAGCCCACTCTCCTATAGAGGGTACAGGGATGAGTGAGGGCTTTGGAGTTCGTAACAAACCTCAGTGCCCCATGGTACACAGTGTCCAGCATACGTAATGACGCCACAGGGGCAAACCTGTACAAGGTATTACCATAGTCAATTACTGGCAAGAAGGTAGCAGAAACAAGTCTCTTTCTCGCTTCAGATGAAAAACATGACTTATTTTGAAAATAAAACCCCAACTTGAGCCTGAGCTTTTTCACAAGACCCTCTATGTGGGGTTTAAACATGAGACACTCATCTAACTAAGGGTTTCATCTTAGATTTCGTGAAAACCATCAACTTTGACTTATCAGCATTATCAGCTAACAGAGCTGAGCCTGGACAATAGGAAAGGCACATTCATCAAAGAACAATATCATTTACAATACAATATGATATACAATACGATATACTACATTATGATATACGATATGACTTACAATGCGATATGATACTATATAATACAACTTTATTGTATCAGTCACAGTAATCTTATTTTGAAGGAAAAAAATCACATTATCCTGTGTGTGTTTTATGCAGGCAGGAGAGAGATGCAGAGACAGACTTCAACCTATTCTACTTCCCTGACGTTGAGAGACACAACGCAGAGATTGCTGCCTTCCACCTAGACAGGTGAAAACAATAAAATATGGACCTCCCATATGAGATTCATCTGAGTGTCAAATGAAAGAGGAGAAACTAACTACTAAAGGCTACCACTGATTTCTCTCTCTCTCTATGTGTATGTGTGTGTGTCCTCTCTCAGGGTGTTGGGTTTTCATAGAATCCCTCCAGTGGTAGGTAGACTCATCAACTTAACCACGGAGATCAGAGATATCACCACAGACCACAAACTCTCCAGAAGCTTCTTCACCTCTCCTGGTGCGTGGCGGTTGGTCCAATCAGCTTTCATAATCAAATCTAACTCTCCTGGTGTGTCCAATCAGCACAGAAAGCAACCAAATGTCCCTCCTTCTCTGTTATTAAGCATGTATGTGTATAGTGGCTTGCGCTATGTGCTAGTCCAGAGTTTCCCAAATGGTTGGTTGGGTTGCACTGGTGGGCTACAGTTTACTTTCCATTTCATTCTGGGTTTAGGACTGGTCACAAGAAAAAGCTCCCAATGCTTTTAGGTGGGTTACGACCCCAAATGTTTGGCAACAACTGTCCACTGTAGGCCTACTACTTGTATTTTGTCAGTTTACTGTACTATTCGCCCAACCCTCTCTCTCTCTCTCTCTCTCTCTTTCTCTCTCACTCTCTCTCTCTTGCTCTCTTGCCACCCCCCCCCCCCCCTCCTGCTCCACAGAGAACCCAGTGTGTGGTCGACCCCAGGTCCTGGAGGTGTCCCTGGCCTCCATGCTGCCTGACCTCTCCCTGGCCCCCAGACGCTCCTGGAAGTCCCCTTGGAGACGCTCCTACAGCTGCACCAAACTGGCACCGTGGGTATTGGGTACCAAAATGGGCCCCTTGTCTGGGGGTCTCGAACTATGGGAGGGGGGTGCAAAGAAACCATGTGAAGTAAATATCTGTATTAGTGGCTATATACAGTAGATGGCAAACTGATGGGGTGGAGGTTTAAATTCCAAGTTTGAATTGCATTGATAGAATTCAACTAATCAATCATCAACAATGTAATAATGTGTAGTAGTATCATACTGTCCTCCACTGGGAAGAAGCCATGCATTTGACTAAAGCATATTGTAGTCCATACCTCACATGCAGCTGCTACTGTTTCAGATGGCAGAAGAACCCAGACTACTGTGACACAGTGAAACAGACTCCTCCATACAGCCAAGGCACCAGACTGGTGGATCTAATTGACATGGTCATTCTGGACTTCCTCATGAGTCAGTAAGCACACTCAACTACACAGCTTCTACTACTATTACTACTTCAGTCATTCTTATATTCTTGAATCAGTAACAATTCAACACACTACCTTTATTTGTCTCTTCTTTTTTTGTGAACAATATCGTTTTTTTTATTGAATCACTGAAGTAATACATACCATAAGAATGACACCCTGTTCTGAACATTTCCCCACACAACCATATTAGAAATGTGGCAAGGTTTAAGTCCATTGATAACGTGGAACCGATTTCGAATAGACAGAGAACAATAAACTATTATTTTGCTATAATTCCTACAAAGGTAATATGGACAGACATCACTACGAGGCTTTTGAGAAGTTTAGGAATGACACTTTCCTGCTGCACCTAGACAACGGAAGGGTGACATCAAACATTAACAAGCCACGTCATATAGCTACCTCAAAACAGATGTTAGCCACTGCTTCCATCCACCACCAACCACATTTGAATCTTATTTTCCAGCTTGCTTTATTTTTAACAGGTGGTTTCAATGTTTAGTGGCTGATGAGCACCGAGATGTTTTGTCTCTGCATTTTCTTCATAACGCTAAGTTTGAAAATGATTTGCAAGGAGATAGTCAACATGATTCATGCTAACTTTTCAGCTGGCTAGAAGATGTGGTAAACAATGAAGTTGACACACATCAGTCCAATCAAAGTTACCGGAGAAAAGACGTTGACTTATCTGTGGCCAATGACCTTGAGCCTTCTTGGACAGGCACTGCCAATTGAACTATATGGCAGCACCCAAGGGGGCAGAAGCTGCATGGCCCTCAGTGAGCTATCCCAGTAGGTGCTGCGGTGTTGTGAGTGACATCACCCTGAGCCAATCATGCGCAACCAGAGAAGATTAATGACACCTACGCTCTGTGCTTTCTCTGGCTGCCCCTCCGCCACAGAAGGCACATGAGCGAGGCTAAAACAGCTGCATTCTGGAGCTGCCTTACTAAAACAATAATGTGACAGGGAGGAGTCAAGTATGCTGCTATATTAACTCAAGAAATGATTTTGTTTACATTGTTTGCTAACTGATATGATATAAAATTGTGACACGTATTAATGCCAGAATTACATGCAAAACATCGGCATCTGCTGGACAGTGGTAGGGCTGTGTCTCACTTGCCCTGAATGATGCGTCGGCAGTGCATATGTTGAAGTTGTTGTAGTTTATACAAACCGGTATTACAGTTATGTAATATTGTGGAAATTATGTTATTTTTAGGTTTTTAGGATGAACCCTCAATTTTGGTGCCCTTACGACAGTGTTGCAGGTAAAACTATCAGCTTGTATAAAGATCTGGACAACTGCATCAGAGAAAGTGCAAGATGACATCTCTCCCTCTCTCTTCCTTCTCTTTCTCCCTTTCCTCCTTCTTTCTCTCTCTATCTATCTCTCTCTCTCCCTATTTTCCTTCTCTCTCTCTCTCTCTCTCTCTCTCTTTTCCTTCTCTCTCTCTCTCTCTCTCAATCTTTTCATTCTCTCTCTCCCACTTTTCATTTTCTCTCTCTTTCTCTCTTCTCTCTCTCTCATTGTCCTCCTTCTCTCTGTCTTTTTCTTCTCTCTCTCCCAAATCTCTCTCTCTTTCTCAGGATCCGTCGTTCCACTCTGATGGGTCTGCGCCTCCTGTCCCTTCCGGGCTTCCGTCTGAGTGATGTCATGAGGGAGTCTCTGTCCCAGGACCCCCTGGAGGATGTGGCCCCCCTCCTCTCTGTACAACACCTCTCCGTGCTGGACCGTCGCCTGAAAACCTTCCTGCAGGCTGTACTCACCTGTCTGGGTACCATGATGACGTTATCCATGATGACTTACAGGGATATGATGTTAGCTTATACCGCCACTAGACAATAATAAAGACATCCATTTACAAAACCATCACTGCTAGATGTCTATCAATGGATTCAGCTGTGGTTGATAAGATGATTGTATTTATCAATCAGTTCATTATTTGTATACTTTCATGGCACAGTTTAACTGCTTGTGTTGCCTTATGAAATTAGAAGAATTATAAAGTGTTGAACCATTACAAAGGTGGAGTAGTGTTACTGGAGTTCAGACAGCAAGGCCATTTGATCACAACAATGCCAGTACTCAGTAGAAAGAAAATGCAGTATATCAGAAAGTTATGGTCAGTGGCAACCCGTCATTCAAGGCAGGTGGGGCAGCACCTCTTTTTAGCCCCACATTGCCTGTTTTGCAAATCAGTTATTTAATAAAATCGCATACAGACATGGTCTCTTTTTTGCTTTTGAGAAGTAAGGCAGCTCCAAAATGCAGGCGTTTCAGCCTAGCTCAGTGCTTTTTGTGGTGGTGGGGTAGCCAGCGGAGAATACGGAGCGTAGGTGTTGGTAACGTTCTATAGTTGTGCCGTTGCGCTGATCATGTCAACATTATACTTTCAAAATCTTAGCTATGAATCAAGTCGACAATCTACTGGCAAATCATTTTTAATCCTTGTCATATGAAGATAAATAATTACGAGAAATTATAGATAAAACATATCGGTGCTCATCAGCCATTGGCCATAAACATTACACAACAAGTTGGAAATTGCAAATTCAACAATGAGTGGTTTGGAAGGAATCAGTGGCTAACTGCAAGCTTTGCAAAGCAATCACTAGCCTTCTGTTCAGTGGAGTGGCTGTGTGGTCCCAAATCTGGGATTAAGGGTCTCTTTTCCAAGTTTAAAATGATAAACATTCAACGTTGGCCATGCTGTCAATGAAGCATGATTTGTGCCGCGCTCAAAACAACTGTTAACTCGGAACTGCGAAATCTGACTTCAGTGAGTTCAAGACAACTGGCAACTCGGGAAAATGAGCTCCGCCTGGGAAAATAAGTTTTGAACGGTCATCCAACTCGGAATTGTAAATCCGGAACTCGGGCCTCCTTCTAGAGCTACGACCTGAAGATCACTGACATCATCATGATTCGACCTTGTTTTTTTCAGAGTTCCCAGTTGTCTTGAAAGCACCATAAATCCAGAGAATGCCAGACTTTGATGACAAAGTTTGATGACAAAATTTGCCCACTAAGGACCACTGCGCCACCTTCCTGTTCAAGTGAGCACGGCACAACAAGGTGAGTCCAAAAATGTATTGTATGCTGCTGCATAAATGATGTAATATGCCAGGGAGCTATGTATACTGTAGCTAAGAAAGTAATACTAAGTGTATGTTGTGTAGTAAGCTGTTAGTAGCCCATGTGCCTCAACCTAATAATTTGGTCTATTTTCCCCTCGTAATTTTGCCTATTGCCCTGATTTGGTGGTGCACATGTAGCCTATAGCCTGTTTTAGAGAAATGTAATAATTGAATATTGTAAGAGCTTTCATTGTCTGCTTATATGCCCCCTTTATTTATCCTACGGTTCTGACTTGGTGTACAGGGAGAACACTGTAAGAACGGCCCATGTTCTGAATTCTGTCGCTGTTCATTTCAAAAGCGCTGAACAAATTGTTATACAGTGGGGAAAAAAAGTATTTAGTCAGCCACTAATTGTGCAAGTTCTCCCACTTAAAAAGATGAGAGAGGCCTGTAATGTTCATCATAGGTACACGTCAACTATGACAGACAAATTGAGAAAAAAATTTCCAGAAAATCACATTGTAGGATTTTTAATGAATTTATTCGCAAATTATGGTGGAAAATAAGTATTTGGTCACCTACAAACAAGCAAGATTTCTGGCTCTCACAGACCTGTAACATCTTCTTTAAGAGGCTCCTCTGTCCTCCACTCGTTACCTGTATTAATGGCACCTGTTTGAACTTGTTATCAGTATAAAAGACACCTGTCCACAACCTCAAACAGTCACACTCCAAACTCCACTATGGCCAAGACCAAAGGGCTGTCAAAAGACACCAGAAACAAAATTGTAGACCTGCACCAGGCTGAGAAGACTGAATCTGCAATAGGTAAGCAGCTTGGTTTGAAGAAATCAACTGTGGGAGCAATTATTAGGAAATGGAAGACATACAAGACCACTGATAATCTCCCTCGATATGGGGCTCCACGCAAGATCTCACCCCGTGGGGTCAAAATGATCACAAGAACGGTGAGCAAAAATCCCAGAACCACACGGAGGGACCTAGTGAATGACCTGCAGAGAGCTGGGACCAAAGTAACAAAGCCTACCATCAGTAACACACTACGCCGCCAGGGACTCAAATCCTGCAGTGCCAGACGTGTCCCCCTGCTTAAGCCAGTACATGTCCAGGCCCGTCTGAAGTTTGCTAGAGTGCATTTGGATGATCCAGAAGAGGATTGGGAGATTGTCATATGATCAGATGAAACCAAAATATAAGTTTTTGGTAAAAACTCAAAGAATGCTGAGTTGCATCCAAAGAACACCATACCTACTGTGAAGCATGGGGGTGGAAACATCATGCTTTGGGGCTGTTTTTCTGCAAAGGGACCAGGACGACTGATCCGTGTAAAGGAAAGAATGAATGGGGCCATGTATCGTGAGATTTTGAGTGAAAACCTCCTTCCATCAGCAAGGGCATTGAAGATGAAACGTGGCTGGGTCTTTCAGCATGACAATGATCCCAAACACACCGCCCGGGCAACGAAGGAGTGTTTTCGTAAGAAGCATTTCAAGGTCCTGGAGTGGCCTAGCCAGTCTCCAAATCTCAACCCCATAGAAAATCTTTGGAGGGAGTTGAAAGTCTGTGTTGCCCAGCGACAGCCCCAAAACATCACTGCTCTAGAGGAGATCTGCATGGAGGAATGGGCCAAAATACCAGCAACAGTGTGTGAAAACCTTGTGAAGACTTACAGAAAACGTTTGACCTGTGTCATTGCCAACAAAGGGTATATAAAAAAGTATTGAGAAACTTTTGTTATTGACCAAATACTTATTTTCCACCATAATTTGCAAATAAATTCATAAAAAATCCTACAATGTGATTTTCTGGAAAAAAAATTCTCATTTTGTCTGTCATAGTTGACGTGTACCTATGATGAAAATTACAGGCCTCTCTCATCTTTTTAAGTGGGAGAACTTGCACAATTGGTGGCTGACTAAATACTTTTTTCCCCACTGTATTGACTACATACGTCCTAGCTCGCTCATTAATGTGTTAATCGAAATTATGGATTGTCGTCCGCTTGTCGTCCCCTTATGCCATAGTTTGTACATCTCAATTGTCAGTAGAAACCAGATTTGTTTAAGCAAGTCAGCCATATTGGCCCAGCGTCGTCCGGGTTTGGCCGGTGTAGGCCGTCATTGTAAATAAGAATTTGTTCTTAACTGACTTGCCTAGTTAAATAAAGGTAAAAATAAAAAATAAAACTGCTATGGTTTTTTTAAAGGCAGTAAATGAGGCTGAATGAACTGTTTCGCTGTCCGACAAGGCTCCGCTGATAGCCAGTTGTACCAGTGGTAAGGTGTTGGGACTGCTGTTGGGACTCTGCTGTTGGGACAGCTTTATATAGACTCTAACAGTTTGTGGGCACCGTTTGTCACCGTTATAGTGCATTTAATGTATTGTTTAGTGTTGTGTTGTGTAGTGGCTTTGCTTTCCCACATTATTAATTTTTTTGCCCCACCAAGATTTACATGCTAAAATCGCCACTGGTTATGGTGAACCTTGAAGTCATAACAACCTCTATCTCTTTGTTTCAACAGCAACAGATAAAACGACTCAAACAGGTTCCTACCACTCATGTGTCATTTGGGTGTGCGTTTGTGTGTGTGAGTGTGTTTGTGTGTCTGTGCGCTTGTTTTCCTACATTATCAGGACCTAACATTTCACCGGAACGTTCTGAAGAGGTAGGAAAACAATAAATGTTTTGAAAAGACAGGACTTTTTTCAGGTCTGAACACTATTTTAAGCTTAAGGGTTAGGTTTAGTGTTTTGGGGTCAAGGTTAGGATTAGGTTAAGGTTAAGGTTAAGGTTAAGGTTAAGGTTAAGGTTAAGGTTAGGGTTAGGGTTAGGGTTAGGTTAAGGGTTAGGGTTAGGCTTAGGGAAAATATTATTTTTTATGGTCAAACATTTTTACACTCCAAAAAGTCCTGATATTTCACAAAAACAAAGCTATTACTGTACTATACACATCCTTCCCGCCTTTGTGAAGATGTCCAGCTCTGTAACAACCACCACTAACCGGGTGGTGGTCATCATCCATGTATACCCCACTGGGAAAGGGGCGGGGGTTGCTTCTACCCCTCACTGTCAGGCAGTCATATGGTCGGACAAACTGACGGTCTCCCCATCACTGGGATAGACGGTCTCCTTAGTGCTGGGAAGATTCCGTGCAGGGTATCTGAAAGCGCTGGGGGTAAGAATTTCTGTTTTACATCATTTGGATACATTTTATTTTATTAAAATGACCATTTTTGTTTAATGTAATAGAAGAGAAAAATGCATTTCCTGCTTTTTCTCCCACAGACTTAAAAAATATATATTTCATTTGACGTCATGCTTTACAAATAATGACTTGTCTTAACTAATGACTTTTATCAACATAGATGTATTTAGGTAGGCCTATGCCATTTACACGCTCATGGATTTCAGTTTATATTGACTTCTGTGTTTGTAGTTAAACTTGAATTTGAACTTTGGTCACACAGTAGAAATATGTGTGTCCCAAATGGCACAGTATTCACAAGTGCACTATGTAGGGAATAGGGAACTAATTAGGATGCAGCCTTGAATAATGTATTCCTTGTTCAGTATGTACAGTAGTTGCAGGTGCTCTCACTGTTGCCGCTGGCAACAAACAGAACACATTTCTGGTCAGTAGCAACTTTTTGATTCATAAAGTTCCACTCTATTTGAAGACATATAATCTACTGTACAATAGACCCTCATGTTTTCGTTCATCCTGCTTGTTTTCCTCCCAAAACATAAGCAGTGGGGTGGGCACTGGCGTTAACTCTGTATTGCCCATTTAAATACATTTTATTGCATTTTTTCATCCACAACCAGACATTCCCACGTCCTCTTTCTGTTCTCTCTCTCTCTGTCCCTTAGGTGAAAGGCCTCCTGGGAATTAATGTTGTTATTTGCTAGCTAACGTTAGCAAATAAGAGCAACTTAATCTGGTAGACATCTATTCCACCCTTGTCTGGAAAACATTCTTTTACTAAAAATAGAATTGTAGAAATAGCTAACTCACTCTCAGTGTGTTGGTAGTAATGATGAATGTGTGTAAATTGTCTATGGTTGGTTAGTTGGTGTTCTCAGCTGGCTAGCAATTTTGCTGCCAATTTAATGACGCTAACTAGCTAACAGCAAACTGACAATATTGAAATGTCCATGTTAGGTGTGCTAATCTAGCCAGTCTAATAGAGATCAATGCAATTAGTGGGGTGGTTAAATTGTGTATTGTTGTGTGTTTTGTTGTAGGTGGTACATCATCTGATTCCACCAACATGTTTCCAATCCCAAACTCTTCACAAGGTGAAGGTAATGGCTAAAATAATTACAAGCTGACGGCTAAAATAGCTCAATTTACAGTAAGCATGACATAAACATGAATTGGGTCATGTTTGTATGGGTTTGTGTTTGTGTTATGGTGGTTAGATGTAGCATGAGGACCACAGTGTACCTTGCAGACCATGCAATCAATTTAGTCTACCCCTTTTCTCTTTTTACCTTTTCTCTTTGTAAAACTCTGGTTATCTGGAGTCCTTCCACAGGCCCTGATTAAAAATATCCCAAAGCGGCAGCATTTTGGGTACACGAGCATGAGGGAGGGGACACACCTTGCAGTTATGGAGCACAACAAGATTGTGGGACAAAAACGAGAAAGGGATACTGAAAGGTTTACAATCAAGACTACAACAGTAATGACACAACCACCTCATTCTTCTCTCTGCAGATTCTCAAAACATAATACAAAGACACGTCTACAAAAATCCCCTGCTACTATTGACAAGAACGATCTGTCAAAGTCAATGGCCTGGGGGAGGTTTACAGATAGGTCTTTGAGATGAGGAAAGGGGTTTTGGTTGTGCTTAGCAACAGTTAATGTATTGTTGTGTATGAGAATGATTCAAAGGTGTCATTTCTCCTTAAACTCCCATACACAACAATACATACTGTGTAAGAATACCCTCCTAAGACTTTTCACACCTTCTGCAGCCCATTCCCTTTGTTGACCGATCTTTCCTCTCAAAAGCAGCTCCCAATGTCCCTAAACAATACACTAGTCTGTCTCTAAACACTTAGGTCCCAATCGGTTGACACCTTTAACAACCAAGGTGTCTTGCCCTATGTCCCTTCCACAAAAAGAGTAAAATGGTTACACCACAATCATGTCTTTCCAGGAGACATGCAGTACCAGCAAATCTTCTGCAAGAGGTCCAAACAGATGGTGGTTAAGGTCTACAAGCCCTACACCACTTCCGGCAGTCTTATCCAGGTGGCCGTACACTGCAGACTGGACAAGACCATTTGCCACAAGCACTCTGCTTCCACAGCCCACCATGCTAAACACCATTGCCAGTGTACCGAAGCCGGATAAAGGACAATCAAATATGGATATTTTCGATCAATCATCAAAATGTGTCTGCCTTTATGGATTCACAGAATATATTTATATAAGCTGTACAGGGCTCTGTGGCATGAAACAGATGTTAGACATTCAGATATATCCAAATAATGTTGATTTGTCAAAATCTAAAATACATAGGAGTATACAAGATTTGATGCTAACTCAAAAGAAGAACTGGGTATTCAACAAGAACGTTATATGGTAAAAGTAACATACAAACAAATACACTATAAACAGTGTAGTACAGTTCAGTGTGTCTCAGGTGTAGTAAAATGCAGAGAACTGTAACTACACATTGTTACAACATATAATGTGATTTAACCAAAGAATTTAGGTATCCAATACTGGGAGTTAGAGGATAGGTACTGTTAGGTGTAGCATAGAGAATTTTCGACCAGCCTTAGCGATGCTGTGTTCGTCCTCGATTCGTGGAAACACGAGTCTCAAAATGTCTGTGTCCAGATGCTGGGGGTCCGTTTGAATCTAGAAAATGCTCCGTTATTAAAAGAAAAATGTTTTGCTCCATGAAGTAATCCAACAGTGTACGCCGCCATCTATTTCTAGTCTTCTCTCATTGATCGAGACAGGTGAGTGTCCACCCCAAAGTGCCGCATGTCATTATGACACACACACAGCCTATATTCAATGGAGAGAGTTCAAATTCTAATGAGTGGCTGACACACTTGTTATCCATGACAGAAACAGGTAAATGATTACCAGGAAGTCCCATGTAAAGTATAAAGTTTGACGCACAACAATCAGTCAGATCACCTCTTACTGTACTACAAACATCCTTCCCTCCTCTGTGAAGATGTCCAGCTCTGTAACAACCACCACTAACGGGGTGGTGGTCAACACCCATGTAAACCCCTATGGGAATGGGATGGGGGTCGCAGGGGTCGCTTCCACCCCTCACTGTCTGGGACAGACGGTCTCCTCAGTGCTGGGAGGTTTCCGGGCCGGGCATCCAAAAGCTCTCGGGGTAAGAATTTCTGTTTTTAAATTATTTTCAAATTAAAACAACGTATTGGAAGAAGAGAAAAAATGAATTTCCTGCTTTGTACTTTGTTTTTCTCTCACAGACCGTACCGATCATGATTGGTTTGATGATGCTTTTGACAGGAATTGTAATGGCTACAGCAGCGTGGTTGGACAATATTGGAGTAGTCAGTGGAATATTTGTCTGGGGATCTATCATTGGGAGTGAGCTGTTCTGTCTAACAAACCTATCTTACATTTCCTGTCTGCCTGGATGCAAAACAAAACGTCCTCATAGTTAAAGCATGTCACTTATTTCAAATATGTGTGTCAATATGTCAAATATATACAGTGAGGGAAAAAAGTATTTGATCCCCTGCTGATTTTGTACGTTTGCCCACTGACAAAGACATGATCAGTCTATAATTTTAATGGTAGGTTTATTTGAACAATGAGAGACAGAATAACAACACTAAAATCCAGAAAAACGCATGTCAAAAATGTTATAAATTGATTTGCATTTTAATTAGGGAAAATAAGTATTTGACCCCTCTGCAAAACATGACTTAGTACTTGGTAGCAAAACCCTTGATGGCAATCACAGAGGTCAGACGTTTCTTGTAGTTGGCCACCAGGTTTGCACACATCTCAGGAGGGATTTTGTCCCACTCCTCTTTGCAGATCTTTTCCAAGTCATTAAGGTTTCGAGGCTGACGTTTGGCAACTCGAACCTTCAGCTCCCTCCACAGATTTTCTATGGGATTAAGGTCTGGAGACTGGCTAGGCCACTCCAGGACCTTAATGTGCTTCTTCTTGAGCCACTCCTTTGTTGCCTTGGCCGTGTGTTTTGAGTCATTGTCATGCTGGAATACCCATCCACGACCCATTTTCAATGCCCTGGCTGAGGGAAGGAGGTTCTCACCCAAGATTTGACGGTACATGGCCCCGTCCATCGTCCCTTTAATGCGGTGAAGTTGTCCAATCCCCTTAGCAGAAAAACACCCCCAAAGCATAATGTTTCCACCTCCATGTTTGACGGTGGGGATAGTGTTCTTGGGGTCATAGGCAGCATTCCTCCTCCTCCAAACACGGCAAGTTGAGTTGATGCCAAAGAGCTCAATTTTGGTCTCATCTGACAACACTTTCACCCAGTTCTCCTCTGAATCATTCAGATGTTCATTGGCAAACTTCAGACGGGCCTGTATATTTTCTTGAGCAGGGGGACCTTGCGGGCGCTGCAGGATTTCAGTCCTTCACGGCGTAGTGTGTTACCAATTGTTTTCTTGGTGACTATGGTCCCAGCTGCCTTGAGATCATTGACAAGATCCTCCCGTGTAGTTCTGGGCTGAATAATCGCACCAACTGTTGTCACCTTCTCACCAAGCTGCTTTGGCGATGGTCTTGTAGCCCATTCCAGCCTTGTGTACGTCTACAATCTTGTCCCTGACATCCTTGGAGAGCTCTTTGGTCTTGGCCATGGTGGAGAGTTTGGAATCTGATTGATTGATTGCTTCTGTGGACAGGTGTCTTTTATACAGGTAACAAACTGAGATTAGGAGCACTCCCTTTAAGAGTGTGCTCCTAATCTCAGCTCGTTACCTGTATAAAAGACACCTGGGAGCCAGAAATCTTTCTGATTGAGAGGGGGTCAAATACTTATTTCCCTCATTAAAATGCAAATCAATTTATAAGATTTTTGACATGCGTTTTTCAGGATTTTTTTGTTGTTCTGTCACTGTTCAAATAAACCTACAATTAAAATTATAGACTGATCATTTCTTTGTCAGTGGGCAAACATACAAAATCAGCAGGGGATCAAATACTTTTTTCCCTCACTGTATATAGGTCCTGGATGGCAGGAAGCTTGGCCCCAGTGATGTACTGGGCCGTATGCACTACCCTCTGTAGCGCCTTACGGTCAGATGCCGAGCAGTTGCCATACCAGACGGTGATGCAACTGCTCAGGATGCTCTCGATGGTGCAGCTGTATAACTTTTTGAGGATCTGGGGACCCATGCCAAACCTTTTCAGTCTCCTGAAGGGGAAAAGGTGTTGTCGTGTCCTCTTTACGACTGTCTTGGTGTGTTTGGACCATAATAGTTTGTTGGTGATGTGGACACCAAGGAACTTGAAACTCTCGACCTGCTCCACTACAGCCCCGTCGATGTTAATGGGGGCCTGTTCGGCCCGCCTTTTCCTGTAGTCCACGATCAGCTCCTTTGTTTTGCTCACATTGAGGGAGAGGTTGTTGTCCAGGCACCAAACTGCCAGGTCTCTGACCTCCTCCCTATAGGCTGTCTCATCGTTGTCGATGATTAGGCCTACCACTGTTGTGTCGTCAGCAAACTTAATGATGGTGTTAGAGTCGTGTTTGGCCACACAGTCGAAGATGAACAGGGAGTACAGGAGGGGACTAAACACGCACCCCTGAGGGGCCCCAGTGTTGTTGCCTACCCTTACCACCTGGGGGCGGCCCGTCAGGAAGTCCAGGATCCAGTTGCAGAGGGAGGTGTTTAGTCCCAGGGTCCTTAGCTTAGTGATAAGCTTTGTGGGCACTATGGTGTCGAACGCTGAGCTGTAGTCAATGAACAGCATTCTCACATAGGTGTTCCTTTTGTCCAGGTGGGAAAGGGCAGTGTGGAGTGCGATTGAGATTGCGTCATCTGTGGATCTGTTGGGGCGATATGCGAATTGGAGTGGGTCTAGTGTATCCGTGATGATGCTGTTGATGTGAGCCATGGCCAGCCTTTCAAAGCAGTTCATGGCTACCAACGTGAGTGCTACGTGGCGGTAATCATTTAGGCAGGTTACCTTCGCTTCCTTGGGCAAAGGGATTATGGTGGTCTGCTTGAAACATGTAGGTATTACAGACTGAAAATGTGAGTGAAGACTCTTGTCAGTTGGTCCGCGCATGCTAGTTCCTGGTAATCCGTCTGGACCCACGACTTTGTGAATGTTGACCTGTTTAAAGGTCTTGCTCACATCGGCTACTGAGAGCATTATCACACAGTCGTCCGGAAACAGCTGGTGCTCTCATGCATGCTCCAGTGTTGCTTGCCTCGAAGTGAGCATAAAAAGGCATTTGGCTCGTCTGGTAGGCTCGCGTCACTGGGTAATAGTTTTCAAGCCCTGCCACATCCGACGAGCGTCAGAGCCGGTGTAGTAGGATTCAATCTTAATCCTGTATTGACGCTTTGCCTGTTTGATGGTTCGTCTGAGGGCGTAGCGGGATTTCTTATAAGCGTCCGGATTAGTGTCCCACTCCTTAAAAGTGGCAGCTCCAGCCTTTAGCTCGATGCGGATGTTGCCTGTAATCCATGGCTTCTGGTTGGGATATGTACGTACGGTCACTGTGGGGATGACTTCATCGATGCACTTATTGATGAAGTCGATGACTGAGTTGGTATACTCCTCAATGCCATTGGATGAATCCCGGAACATATTCCAGTCTGTGCTAGCAAAACTGTCCTATAGCGTAGCATCCGCGTCATCTGACCACTTCCGTATTGAGCGAGTCACTGGTACTTCCTGCTTTAGTTTTTGCTTGTAAGCAGGAATCAGGAGGATAGAATTATGGTCAGAGTTGCCAAATGGAGGGCGAGGGAGAGCTTTGTATGCGTCTCTGTGTGTGGAGTAAAGGTGGTCTAGACTTTTTTTTCCTCTGGTTGCACATGTGACATGCTGGTAGAAATTAGGTAAAACAGATTTAAGTTTGCCTGCATTAAAGTCCCCGGCCACTAGGAGCAACGCTCCTGGATGAGCATTTTCTTGTTTGCTTATGGCCTTATACAGCTCGTTGAGTGCTGTCTTAGTGCCAGCATCAGTTTGTGGTGGTAAATAGACAGCTACGAATAATATAGATGAGAACTCTCTTGGTAGATAGTGTGGTCTACAGCTTATCATAAGGTACTCTACCTCAGGCGAGCAATACCTTGAGACTTCTTTAATATTAGACATCCCGCTCCAGCTGTTATTGACAAATAGACACACACCCCCGCCCTTGTCTTACCAGACGTAGCTTCTCTGTCCTGCCGATGCATGGAAAATCCCGCCAGCTCTATATTATCCGTGTCGTCATTCAGCCACAACTCGGTGAAACATAAGATATTACAGTTTTTAATATCCCGTTGGTAGGATATTCTTGATCGTAGATCATCCATTTTGTTTTCCAATGATTGCACATTGGCCAATAGAACAGATTAATTCGTTGCGCAGCAGCCATGATCCTGCTGTTCACGTCTCGTCCCAATCTTAGAACCACAAGAACGTTGGGATTTGAGTGTTAGGCTCATCTTGGGTAGGGGTAGTGGTAGCCATGGTGAAGAAAGAAGCTCAGCGGCTGATGGCTAATAGTGGTTAGCACAGTAGAGAACGCTATAGCCACAAGGCTGAGACGCGTTAGCTAGCTAGCAGCTACCTGAAGGTGTGCTGTAGCTAGCTCAGTGCTTAGCTAGAGGGGTTGTGCTAGGATAGTGTTAACCCCTTAGGTTAGCTTACTCCCGCGACCGCAGAGCCGTGTGACTGGGTCGGCGGTCTAGTTAGTGCCTGCGACTGAACGCAGGTTAACTAGGTGAGGGGGAGAGCTAGCAAAGCTACCGTGTTGCAGGTAGAATTGCGTGGTCAGTTAGCCTAAGCCTAGCGCCGTGGGTTACTCGAGTTCCACTAGCTAGCTAGGTAGCTACAGTAAGTAGCTAGCCTGAGGTGACCGAGAGTTTGAAAGACGTTTCTTTCTACACAAGCAATACTACCATTTTGCAGGTAGAATTGCAAAGATAGTTCACTTTGCAGCGAGTTAGCCAAGTTAGCTTGTGAAAAAGAGCGCCACCATGTGGTGGTCTCCAATAGAGGTGCCGGTTTCGATTATAGGTGCAACTGTCCCAGAGTCCCGGCCAGAGGACTGATGATGACCAGCAGGAGACAGGGATACAACTTACACTATATTGCCACACCTAACAGACAGGCACACACAGCAAACAAGAAGAGGAGACTAGTTATTGATAGTGATTGTATGGTCAGTGACGCACATGTTTGGGAAGTCCAGAGTGGAGGATTGTCCTTGTCGGAAGGGTCCAATGGTGAGTTGTGCTGAGGTGGTGCAGAGTTCTTCTGACCTGTTGTCTCTCTGCACCCCTATGTCCAACTAAAGCGCAGACAGGTTTGAGATCCCCACCAGGTAAAGCCTGTGACATGACTCTAGCCAGGGGAGACTGTTCTGGAAGGGCCCTTGGCAACCCCCTAGCAACACAGTAGCCAGCACAAGAGGTGTGAAACCGGGGATGGTAGCTTCTGCTGGGCTGGAGAGTTTCTAAAGTTTGTGCCTCAATAGCTAGGTTTCCATCCAATTGGCGACAGATTTTCATGCGAATATTCTAAAATCCGCATATAAACTATATTTGCATTTTCATCAGCCACGCGTCGTGGGCTAACCGAGTCCCAATAGCTAGCGGTGAAGCTAGCTAGCAGAGGTAAATTATTTTGCATTTCTACAGAAAATAAGGTACTACTTAGCCTCACGAGGGTGTCCGAAGTCCCACGTTCAGCAGTGATGACCTTGCAGGTCACCTGTGAACTGTTGAGTCAGACTGGTCTCATAGACTAGACGTAACATAGTAATTATAAATCCAGGACACTCAAATTAGTATGATATGTTACTTTTGGTATGGTTACATAAGATAAAAGGCAAAAACGAAAGGAAGGTGGTTGGTTGGTTGGTTGGGGTGGATAAGTGGGCCTATAACACAAATGTCCCAAAAGGTTGTGTGTTCAAATCTCATCATGGACAATTTTAGCTAATTAGCAACTTTGTAACTACTTATTACTTTTTAGCTACTTGGCAACTACTTAGCATGTTAGCTAACCCTTCCCCTAACCCGATCCCTAACATTAACCATTTCAGCTAACCCTTCCCCTAACCCTTTAACCTAACTCCTAACCTTAACCCTAACCTTAACACCTAACCCTAACCCATAGTGATAGCTAACGTTAGCGTTAGCCACCTAGCTACCTAGCTAACGTTTGCCACAACAAATTGGAATTGGTAACATATCATACTTTTTGTAAATTCGTAACATATCATGCGCATTGTAATTCGTAACATATCATACGAAATGGATGATGGACATCCACAAATTAATACATACCGTACTAAATGGAGTGTCTAGGATTTACATACAGAATAATACAAAATGCTCTCTGACCACTTTGTTTGAGTGGAGAAAATCGAGAACCAGTCGCATAGAGCTCTTCAATGAGGAAGCGAACATGGACAGTGAGCGGGACAGTATCGCTTTTATACAGGGTAAGAAGCACCCTGTTCACTGCTATCTAGGTCTCCAACAGACGTTTGTGATTGGTTACTTCAAGTTTTGAGACTTTCGGAACAAAATCTCACTTGTGAAATACATAATAAGTAATTGAAACATATCTACATATGTCTTACTATAATGTAAAAAAGAAATATAAAACTAAGTCAACTATGTTCTGACAACTGTAAGAGCACTGAGCAGCCACGGCACCTCAAATAGCAGGAGGAGAACAATCAAGCTGAATGAAAATAACTGTTATTATTATGTTTACATGAATACACTGTATTTTCGTTCAAGCAAAGACTTGAAATGGACTTCAAATAAATATGTCTGTCTTTTAGCAAGTGTCCATCATTGGGAATCAAATACTGGTACCTGATGGCAGGTATGGCAGCATATTGACTCCAAGCAACGCCCCTTTCCCTCCACAGAACAACTACGAGGTATGACATATTTTCCGGTTGAATTGCAGGGTTGCCATATGAAATAGGTTGCTCAATATAAAATATATAAAAATAAGGTCTCACCAGTGTCCTAGTAACTGAGTTTCTGGAGTCATTTTAAACTTCCACTGCTACATTCATTTGAAATTGGTCACTGTGTGTGTCCCAAGTGGCACCCTATTCCTGATATAGTGCACTACTTTTGACCAGGGCCCATGTAGTGAATAGGGTGCCATTTGGGACGCCAACAAAGAGATTCTGCAATGATTAAATATTATGCACTGCAATTTTGACTCACCCTGTAGGCTAAACCCAGTAATCAGTTTAAATTGTAGATACTGTAACATGTGTACTTGAGCTTTTTGTTGTTAACAACTCTTTATTGTACACATTACAATCAATGGTGTACATTTAACTCTGAAAGTCTGAGACTCTGAAAGTGTAAAATGTACACTATTTTCAGTCAACATATGAGTCCCACTGAACCATGTATATTCCCCCTCAAGCCGATACCACGACGGCCCTCAAGGAACTACACTGGACTTTGTGCAAACTGGAAACTACACATCCTGAGGCCACATTTATTGTAGCTGAGGACTTTAACAAAGCAAATATGAGGGAAACACTACTGAAATTATATCAACACATTTGAAATAACACGTTTGAAAGTGTTAAAGATTAGCTCTGTTGCAGTGTTCCCAATTTAAATCTGAAAGTGTAAAATGTACACTATTTTCAGAAAACATGAGTCCCACTGTACTGGTGTTAAAATAACATTTTTGAAATATTTAACTATGTTGCAGTGTTCCCCATTTAACTCTTAAAGTGTTCAAAAGAACTTGATTGTGGTGTTTGCATAGCTCTACCGTAGAGTAATACACAACACCTACAGTGTAAAAGATAACACTTGATTTACAGTAAACTGGACTCACTTTCCTTATTGCTGACGCTGTTACACATTCTCAGTGTAAGAAATTAACACCTGTAGTGTTACAGTCAATTATTAGTGGGTGTTGTTTTAACACTGTATGGTGTTAAGCCTAATTTGCATATTTCCTAGCGTGCTTTTTCTTTTTTAGTAAAATGTATTTGTTAGTGACAGAGACATGGTTGTTGAATTGTCTTTTACCAAGTGAGTAGGGGAATGCTATCATTCAAATTAGTGATATTACGTTTTTGTACCGGAGCTCTGGGGCATGCGTAGACATCGAAAAGGAGTTTACTTCGAAGCAGTGTGCCGATGCCTGTATCAGTTTATCAGAAGTACGTCATCAATGACGTCCGAAGCGTCGTTTGATCACATGCTTTTTCAAACCGTGTGACGCAAAATGCGAGATCCAACTGATTTTGCCGTGGTTCCAGTGCTTTCTTCGAGTCCAAGTTGCTTTCAAACACCGACCTCTACTGGACACCAATGTTCTCTCTAAGCTGTGCGCGTGCGCGCAGCTCCCCCGGAACTGCCGCACAGAACAAATATCAGCCCCGCACAGAGAAGCACGAGATTGAGGCTTTACAATTAGATACTGAGGAAATGCCACTATCACTTAGACGAGTTAAGCTAGCCCTGGCATACTCGGCAAGACTGAAGGGTTGTACGGTAGATCATCCTACACCGACAGTACTGGAAGACTGCTGGGAACATGAACGATATCAAAAGAGGGGTTTTGGCCCAGAGATTGGGAAAAAGGTTGATGAGTATGGACTCAGGGACCTTGTTATAGGGTCATCTGTGGCAATAGGAAATGTGCCACCACGGTTTTATACAAGACGACATGTTGATCTTAGCCTGATCGAAGAAAATAAACAGTGGTGTGAAGATAATGTAGGAACAATAATGGATCAATATATTAGTAATCCGTTTTATTCTTGTCTTGCAGTGTATACAGATGGTTCAAAGGATCCCATGAATGGGAAGACAAGAGCAGGTGTATTTATTCCTGAGTTCGATGTTAATCTATGCAATACACTAACAAATTATTTATCTGTATATTCAACAGAAATGGTTGCGATAATTGTTGGATTGCAATGGATAGAGGAGGTGCAATCAAGAAGAATAGTAATATGTTCGGAGTCTTTATCAGTTTTGTGTAGCTTAAGATCTGGAAAGTCAGAACGTGAGGATTTATGGTTAGAAATAATGATGTTGTCGTTGGGCTTACAAAGAAATGGTATAAAAATTAAGTTCTGTTGGATTCTGGCTCATACAGGAGTTTATGGAAATTATATAGTAGATATAATAGAAAATAAAGCAGTGAAAAATAATATTGTGGATATACAGGTGCAGTTGGGTAGAAGGGAACTTAAAACATTGATTCGGAAAAATGTGTTAGATGTTAGACATTTTTATAGTACAAGGAAATCTGTACGGGAGATAGTGTCATATAATGGGAACAGAAGGGAGGAAGTTATGTTGTGTAGGGTGAGATTACGGCATACAGGATTGAATTCCTCTTTGAAATTGATAGGGAAACATGGTACTGGAGTGTGTAATGGCTGTATGGTAGAGGAAACGGTTATACATTATTATTATTATTTTGTGAAATGTATGACGTAGAAAGGGAGAGGTTGTTTGATAGGGTCAGAGAGGTTGGACGGGAATGGTGAGTGGGTGT